CGCTTCCCCGCCCGACGGCGCAGGGCCGGCCCCAGCTGGCGGTGTCTATTCAGGGGGCGGCGCCTCTCCGGAAGGGCTGGCGCGCGCCCTGGACCCCGTTCCGCTCCGGGCTGCTCGGCCAGCGGTCGGCCTTCGGGCCTCTCCTGCGGCGCTCCTGCAACGCGCAGCCCAAGGGCTAAGCGCCCCGGAACCTGCACGCTCCGCGCTCCGCGCCCCGCTCCCGAACAGCTTTTCTCCCCGCGGGCAGGCGGCTTTAGCTTCCCCGCCCGGAGAATTCGGGCCCCTCTCCTTGGAGCTGGCAGCCACTTTCTTTCCGTTCGACTCCTCCAGCTTCCCATTTCGAGGAAAGTGATGAGGAGGCAGTCCACGAACTATTTTCCAGGGATTTTGCATCCCCTTTCTTGGAATCCTCCCTTGGCAAATCTCCCCACCCGCGGAGGAGAGGGGACAGCTGGGGAGAACCAGAGTCCAGGGTCTCTGCCAAGGATGGCCAAAGTGGGGGGGGCAGGCTTGGTGGTGCCTGGTGTAGCAGCTTCAGCATCCTCCGCTCAGCCTTCTGGCCCAGCCACCGCGGGGAAAGGTCTTTCAGGGACCCAGAGGGGAAGATGGGCCAGGAGAGATGGCCTGGCAGCTCCCACAGTCTGGGCTGGGGGCTGTCTGTGTAGATTCTCTGGCAGCCACACACAGCCACGCTGGGGGGGGGGGCTGGGGTAATTCCCACAAAGGGGCCCTAGTGTCAGCCTGTTCTCCTTCCAGTGCAGCGGAGGCCCCAGTCCACCACTGGCTGCAAAGGGATGGAGCAGGGATGGACTTAGCCTGGGGAAAAGCCACTCAGTTATTTTCCTCTCACATCCCAGTCAAGGCCTCCTGGCAATTCCTTTTAAAAATGTTTTACAAGGGTTCTCTTTCCAGGATCTCATCAGAAGAAAAATGTGATTCAGACAGGAAATGGTGAGTCTCTGGAAAAGTTGACTTGATGTTGTGATTTCTGTTCAGAGGGGCTGTTGCGGTACAGATGAGGAACAGCAAGATGGAATGAACTAGAAAAATGTGGGGGGGGGACAGCTGTGGGGGCTAGTAGTTAGAGTCCTAACTACAACTCTTGGGGGAGATCTTTGCAGGACGCGCTGCTTTTGGTGAGTGAGAGGTCTGCCCCACACCTAGTCTCAAAGCATTCCTTCCTGTGGCTTTTAGAGGGAGCAGTTTTGCAGCGCTCATGGGCTGCTAACTAGTTAGCTTTAGAACCAGGTTTGCTAAGGATCCCTGGAAATTAGTGACAGAGAGATCTGAAATTACTTTTTGGCTCTGTGATAAGAGAAACTTGAGACATTAACTAGAGAATGGTAACTTACCGAAGGCAAGTAAATCCATTAAACAAAGCCCACCATCAACTACAGGTGGTCCTCACTTAACAACCACTCATTAAGTGACTGTTCAAACTTGCGACAGGGCTGAATGAATGGGACTTATGACTGGTCCTCGGAGTTCCGGCTGTTGCAGCATCCCCACGGTCACCATTTGTGATCTTTGCCAGCTTCCAACAAGCAAAGTCAATGGGGAAGCTGGCAGGAGGTCGCAAATGGTGATGTGACATCCTTGCTTAACAATCTGTGGTGATTGGCTTAACAATGGTAACTGGGACTGCCGGAATTGCCATAGCTATGCAGCGCAGTCATGCGATGTCGCACTTCATGACTGCATCACTTAGTGATGGCAATTCCAGTCCCAACTGCTGTTGTAAACCAAGGACTACCTGTATGCAAAAATGAAGTGACAATGGCTTAGATGGATTACATCCACAAACAAAGTTGGGGTGCAGAAACGCTTGCTGACAATAGCTGCAGAAGTTGGTCCCCCCACCACACCCAGGAGGCATCATGCAGTCTGCCTGCTCAGCATGGAAGAGCTTCAGCTCAGTGGTCCTGCTTGGCCTGCAGAGAACATGGCCTTGCTGAGCTCCAGGGACTGATGTGGGGGGAGAGGTGTCCGAGGATGGGCATGCATCTGAGCCCCACAGAAGCAGTAGAGGCCTCCCAGCCAGCCCCAGTCCACTGATTGCGTTTGTTCTGGTCAATGAGACTGGATCATGGACAGCGTCCACGGCCTCTGCCCTGGTCCAAGATACACTCAGCTTGGCTTTTAAATAATGGAGCTCTGCCACCCTTGGCCAGGAAACATCTCTCTTTATGGTGAAGGACTGCAGCCTACTCTGAATATTAAGCACTTAAAACTTGCAGCCTCAGTAACAAATTCACCCCTGCAAGCCTTCCTGTCTGAGACGGTAAGATTTAGCCCCTTGGCAGGAGACAGTACTTCAGGGAGAAGGGGACCCATTCTGATAGTCATCTGGGCAAAGGCAAGCATCCTGTGTGGTCAGCCACAGGAAAGGCAAGTCTTTGGCCCTCCTTTCCTAGCACGAGCTGGCTTTCGGAGGGTCCACAGAGAATGGCACAGGGCTGCCCAGTTCCATGGCCCTCCTAGAAATGTCAGCCTGGCAGCTCCTGGGCAGACCAGAGGTCAGCTGGGGTTGCATCCTCTGTGATGACTGGTTACAGCTCAGGGCCTTGCTCACCTCCTGTTGGTGGCTGCCCTGGCCTTGGGTGGCCAAAGGAATGCCTCCCCTCCTCCCAGCCTCTTGCTCAGTTCTCCTTTGTGCCAGCAGAGCTGCCCTCCCTGCCAAGGACAAAGCGAGCCACAGAGTAGCTGGGTTCCCATGGCGATGGTCGGAGCCGGCCTCCTGCTGTGGCCCCCGCAGGGAGGCTCCCTGCTCAGTGTTGACCCAGGGGGCAGGGAGACTGGCCAGGGCTCTGAGGGGTGGCAGACCCCCACCCAGCAGAGGGGCCCCTAGCCCATCCTTGGAGAGTTCCTTCCTCCAGGCCCCTCTGCCCCAAGGGCCTCTGAGCGCTGTGTGAGGCTCTGCCACGTTTCTCCAGGAGCCGTAGGGCAGGGAGGGTGCAGGTCCCTTCGCTGATCCAGGCTCACCGTGGGCTCTCTCTTGGGACTTGCCGGCGGACTCCCCCCCCCCCCCCCCCCC